GCCACGCTTCGGTTACACTAAGATTCTAGGTAGCAGTAAGAATTAAAGAGCGCGCGAACTGCAAGAGGCGTACTTCATTAGGGAGAGTGGGCCCCATTACGTCAGCGACACGTCGACTGTATTGTAAAATGCCGCGATATGCTTTTTTTAATAAATTTATGTAAACGGGTTGAAGAGCGTGTATCCCGGCGCAAACGTAGCGTATATGCTCTAAAAAAGTATCTGGTCTTAAAAGTTATTTTATGGGCTCTTCCGATTGTCCGCATTTTGAATCCTAAAAGGTTATTTTAAGCATCCCCTAAAAGGCTACTTTGTAAAACACTTGAAAGGGGTTCCTTTCAGCTATTTTTTTTTTTTTTTTAATGAGAAAAGGTTCTTTATCGCTTAGTTGACTTTCTAGTGCCCCGGGGGGCGATAATGTTTGAGAGAAAGCCGTTCTTCACGAGCTACAACAGTTCTTGGGGCGTCAAAGCACCTTTCAAGAACGGATTTTCTTGGAGCGTAAGTGACGATAGATGTGTAAATATAGTTATATGCACTTTTATTTTTTTTATTTTTTAACTGGTGTCAGTAGTGCCCGTGTTTGCCTTCTCTCTTGTGTTCGTCTTTTTGGCGCTTTTAACCATGGTTTAAATCGTTCATCACCAGCTAGCCCCAAAACTAGCAGTTTTATAAGCTTGCCATGCTTCGGGACTACCCGAAATTTCTTTTCTCTTGATGACGTAGTGTACGTTCACTCTTTGTTTGTCCGTCTGTGGCGGGGCATAGTGGATCGAGCATTCGCCCCGATGACAATTAGTTCAAGAAAATCATCTCCCTCATGGTTTATAGCGTCGTTTCAGCGTCTCGCAGACATCCACGTGGCTCTCCTTAATGTCCGGCCCAAGTTTTTTTTTCTTCTTTTTTTTTTGTGCCAGTTGGGCGGACATTTTATGATACTGCATAATACTGCAAATGATGTGATATACCCAGCAATCACTAATGTTCGATTCTTTGGCCACATCATCAATGCTGACACGCAAGTTTTTACGTACGAACCGTTTCGTCATACTGAGCCTGGCGACATGGAAAGTCAAACTTGCCTATCCGCTTTTGAAATATGTTGTACCTCTCGTACCTCAGTCGAATTGACATACAGCACCCCCCCCCCCCCCCCCCAATCCTCTATTCAACATCATGGGATAGATCTCGGCAAGATTTTTGCCCTCTGCCTCTAAAATTAGGGTTACTGCGCCCAGCTCTACCCCCGGTGCACGCTTCCAAGAAGGCGGCCATGTTGAGAATGTTGTAGCGTTGTAATTTTTCATCAGGCCGCTCAGTCGGCGAGAACGGCCTCCTCTAGTGGAGGCCCAAGCAGTATTTGAAGTACGGCAATCTATCGCGAGATTTCAACTTTGCTAACTGAATTGCGTTCTTTTTTACTGTGCCTCGTATGAACTGTTGTTTTATCGTTAGAGGGACCATGAAATAATATTAGATTTTGATCTTCTTAATCTCGTATCAATTAGTGGGCCAAAAAAGAAAGAGGGTAGGAAGTCAAGAGCCTGCTTTTCGGTAGAAAACTTGTAAAATGTAGCCGGACTATTTCTTATCTTCTCTCCTACGAAAGCTCTCCGCCTCTTCACTGTGATACATCCGCGGTACCCAAGCACGTCAGCCGAACCCCACTCACGCATGACACAAGAGCACTGCTTCAATCGAACGTACGCACTCGTCAACAATCAATCCGTCGACGAACGTTTAGATTCGCCTTCGTGGCCAACGAGTGGTCGTGACGGCAGTTATCACCACTCGTCAAATGACAAGTTCCACGTTGAGCTTGAAAAGCACGGTGGTAGCGTGGACTCATTCGCATTCCAGTAAAATACTACGTCACGACCACGTGATTTCTCATTTCGGTTAAGGGCGCAGCTCTTAAGCACCCGTTTCTGAGTATAGTGGCGTCGCCGTCGGCCGTCGCCGTCGCGGTCGATGTAGCCGCCCCGCTAAATTTAGCGGGAAAGTGAATTGGTGTTGAGGTCACGTGACGTCAAGTTTTGCACTAAATCTAGCAGAGAAACTTAATGTGTTCATGGGTGACGTGACACGATATTCCTCGCTAAATTTAGCGGGGAAATTGAATCGGTGTTGAGGTCACGTGTCGATTTTCCAGCTAAATTTAGTGGGGAAACTGTGCGAGGAGGGGAGGGTAGGAGGGAAGAGGAAGGGAGGGTTAGCAGGAGGAGGAGGGGAGGGTACGAAGGAGGGGAGAAGGGGAGGAGTGTAGGAGGAGGAGAGAGGAGGAGGATGGGGAGGGAAAGGAGGGGATGATGAGGAGCAGAGGAGGAGGCGATAAGTAGGAGGGTAGGGAAGGAGGATGGGAGGGTACAGACATACAAAATGTACCCTCCACTTTTCCTCCTCAAGAGCTGCGCCCTAATTTAGAATTACAGAGACTTGTCAAACGTCTTTCATTTTTTTTTTTAGTTGAGGATTAAAGCAAATACTATAGAGCTTCGCCAATATTAGAAACTCCTCCGAAAACCCATGGGCGCGGTGGCGAACGTGACAGTGGCGCCTCTAGCGGAATCGGAGTGTACGGAAGCAGACAACGCAATGGAAAATCGGTCCGCTTGCAAAGCAGAATCCACTAATCGCAACTGCAACGGCAATCAAATAATAACGCGCGCAGAAACAAACATAGAACAGTTCATTAAGCGGTTTCAAACACAACTCAGGGCCAGGGGATCACACGCGTTTGAAGCGCATCTGGGAAGAGGAAAAAATGCGTTTAGCTACTCGAACTACGTCGTAAAAGGTTACTGTTTATCTGTTACAGACTGCGTTGTCACAATTCCTTACTTGAATAGGTGATCATTAAAAAGTCCGCAAACAACATTTTAATATTTCCAGGGCAAATGGACCAGCCTCTGTAGCATAACAAAAACGAAAAGTAACAAGAAAACAGTCCGCGCAAACGCTTTCCGAACTTTGCAGGAAAGATGGGGTCCCCATACCAGAACAAAATTTTAAAAAAAATGGGGAACAGACGTGAACAGCGGCTAATGAAACAAAGAAGTTAGCAGGCGATACAATGGTTCAAATCACCCAGCAAAGACCTCCTCCAACGACGACGATCGCGCGAGGCATCGGTAGGAGCATTGAAAATGAGCAAGCGGTGGTCGCCATCGGTGTTGAGTCCAAAACAAACAAAGCGGAAGCAACACGAAAAAACTATTAAAAAATAAGATTCACTGTTTTTGTTCTTTTTTTGTTTTTGTTTCTTTAGCTGCCCGTTACACGTTTTTTATTTGCTTTCGCGGCTTTGGTAATAACTAAAACAAAACAGAGGAAAGTAATAACGTAGTACAACTCACACTGCTCGGAAAATAAGAGTCACACGCTGCAATCGCGCTACGTGTTAGCAGTGTGTGACATTTTTGCTTTCGCATTTCATTTCCCAGTGACCTTGGCGGGTTGTTTGTTTGCTCGCTTGAAGAAGCAGCTCAAAAGTACATTCCAGTACTTGTTGACTTACATGTCCAGGCAGTCCTTGCACACCGTGCCTTTGTTTCGAGTGTCGATGAGAGGCCGCCTTGAGCTGAACCCTTGGTTGCTGAAATATATCAGTGCAATGTGTGTCGAAGGCACGGCTGATGGTACCGGCTGGCTGACGGGCTAAGTCGTAAGGTGGTGTCAATTCCGCATTCGATTATTTCTCCTTCTTCAACAAAATGTTTTGCGATGTGTTCTATGTTTCTGATTGCAGTTGGACTTAGCAAGCAGGATGAAAGATCTGACTGGCTGCCCACCCGGCTACAAAGGACTGAGTGTTCAGTTGCGCATCTTGTATTTGGTCCGTGAAGTTCCCCACAATCTCTGTAGAGTTGTCATAATCGTCTGTTGAGGCGTCAGTGGCGATATTGAAGCCAGGCTTGAGTAGCTCTTCCAGTTTATTTTTGAAGTAACTAAATTACTAACGTTTGTTCGGTCTTCCGAAAACGGAAGAAGGATTCTACACCACATCACAAAAACTTGTTTCTGCAATACTAGGCTTCACGTGGCATGCCTGCCATCTCCAAGTATGTGCTGGTGTATGCCCGAAACCGACCAGTTGATCAACAAACGATGATTCATAGCAGACGTGCCGTCGTACTCAAGTAAAATCCGAATAGAAATTTAAAACGAGCTTACAGGTTTTAATATATTTGTTAAGCATCAAAAACCACATGTGAAGGTTTACGATTATAAACTCAATCGAAGGCGAAAAGAGGAGGTTGTCGCAGACGAGAGTGAAAAGAAACAACAACAATAACAACAAAGTTGCAGACGGCCCTCAAGATGTCTGGGCATAGAGTAGTAGACGAACCGGCGTTACTGAGCGCCCAAGCGAAAGAAAGTAAAAACTAAGCAAAACAAGGCAAAGTAAAATACGCGACAGTTCGAACGTCAAAAAAATTAAAGAAAAAAATAAAAAAAGCATAAAAGCAGGAGGAAGAAAGAACGCGGCGGCGTAGCCTCGCCTCAAACATAAAAAGGAAGCCGACTTTGATATATACAAGTAGCACTACCGTACAACGGGTGGTTGCCTATGATCCTAGAAGGCGCCGAATACGTTAGTCCTCCTGCCGCTAACAATCGCAATTTGTGCACCGTATATAACGTGACCGAAATCGCCTTTTTTGCGCTACGACACTCTCCACTTTTTTTCTTTTTTTGAACGCGCGAGAAGTTTGCTTTCCTTGTAACTCCGCTTTCATTGGTTTCAGTAACGCCGTCAGATTTGCATGTGCACAAACCGACTTGTTCCAGAGCATACTAACATCGCTGTAATGTACATGGTTCGAAATTGCATTTTGCTTCGGCATCTGAAGACGATCTTAACGGAATCAGCCAGCACGCCTATCCGACAAAACGGTTTTAAGCAATACATTCATGGCAAATGGGAATGGCAAAAACAAAACTAAATTATTTATAAGAAGAGTAAAGTTAAAACGTAGCTATGTTTCGAAAGTTTTGTACATTGCTCTCTTTCGAGAAACAGGGCGAAGGTACATTATTGTTTTGCCTGGCTTACATAAGTTCCGACAGAGTGTTTTCTTCAGGAGAGCCCGAAAATTGCACCGTACAAGCTGTAACGTCTTTCCCACGTGAAGAAAATGTCGTTTCCTTATGAGGTGACACCTATTTTTTGACATTCAAAGCAGCAAACACCCGTTACAATTCTTTTCCCGTTGCTCACCTCGCAAAAAGATAGGCAAAACCAATGCAATGTGGAAAATTCGTCTGCTAGCGGAAACTCCGTGCTCGCCAGGGGCGCTACGATCACTTTTCGCCCGCTCTCCGTAGGAGTTGCCAGTATTGGCTTACATGGTATTTGATTAAAGTTAAGGAGGAATAAGTTCCCAAATTATTTCATGGTGCCCTTTAAGGGAAGAACTGTTTCCTCAAAGAATTTCACCAAACTCACTGGTAGTTACAGATAACCTAAGAGATACGAATAACTTAAGAATCACGGATAACTTAACATAATGAGATGCTCCTGAGCATCTCATTATCGCCTTTTAGTCATTCAGATTGTATCATTATACGTTCAAAACGTCGGAGAAACAGTCACGAGGCGGGAAGCTATTAAGCCACGTCCTTCGATTCTTAGGACGTCGGTGTCCATACCTTCGAGATCTTTCTCGGAACCGTAGATCATGTTAATTACAAAACAGAGCAAGTTATAGGTAGTCCCCGGTGTTCTTTGGAGATAAACCTGCACCGCTTAATGTCTCGCCCTACAAAGGTTTGGCTTACACTGGAGAAATATGTGGAGTCATGAACGTCGGCATCGTAGAGGACACAGCGGGCACATACAAGGGAGTTCATGTTACAGCTCACGAAGCAGCCCATTTGTGAGTATTCTATTTTTACGGCGAAGCTGTTTATGGCTAGGGTTCTGTGGATTTTTTTTTTTTGTGTGCGTTGAAAAAAACGCAGAGAAGGTTCGCACCGCCCTCTCTTTGTCGTCGTTCCAAGCACTTCGGTGCCTAGTTCCTTTTCCCTCTGCCGCGTGGCGGTCCCGTCACGCGTGTCTAGTTCCCTCCGGCTCCTCGGGGCGGCGATAGCTCTCGCCATGTGTGTACGTACCTTTCGTCACGATGACCAACGATCAAAACAATAAATGTATTCGTACCTTTGTTCAAAATTCTGTGTCACGTCTCGGTCGTGTGCTAAACAGTTTCGCTGGTCATCCACCTTTGCAGAGTGGGATGGCTCATGTTTTTTTTTAGAGCACAGCTCTTAGGCGCTTCTTTCCGGCTTCAGCGGCCTCGCCGTCGCCGTCGGCGCAACCGCGTGATGCGTTGTGGGACATTTCCCATGATGCAACGCGCGGGTAGGAGGAGGAGGGGGAGGTGACGAGGGGGAGGAGAAGAGGAGGAGGGATGAGGAGGAGAGGAAGGAGGAGGGGAGGGGTAGCAGGGAGGATGGGGAGGAGGGAGGAGGGCTATACCCTCCCTTCAACACCCTTCCCTCCTCCTCCTCAAGAGCTGCGCTCTAATTCGGCGTTACAGGGTGTTGTAAACGTCTTTCATTTTTTGTTGCTGTTTGTTCAAGCAACCTGGTTAAAATAAATCTGAGTAGGTTATTTCTTTTCCCCGTGAACTGAAATTAGTCCAAATGACTAAGTCGCAATGATGAACCTCACTCCTCTAATCATCTCTGTGGGCAGGACTTCCGGTGTTCTTTTTTGAGTCGTGTTAGGAATCGGGTAACAAAAAACGCAAAAAAAAAAACAAATTGATGAATACCAGTAAAAATGCCTTTCCGGAAAATGTTCTTACTGATTTAGACTTTTTTGTAATGACTATCTTTGATACTAAGATTGCAACATAATATATCTAACCATCAATCAAAAAGATAACTTAGAAATTTTAGTTAACATTCAATGTTAACTAATGTGATGCGTCTGCGTGTGATGCGTCTGTTTTCCCGCACCGCACTTGTAAGACCCAATTCCTGCATTCCAGGGAACAAGTTCAGCTAACGACGGGATTGAAAATATGTTTCCATCCATCGACCAACACACTGTTCATGAACAAGCCTCCGTTAGCCTACACCGGGTGTGGTCGCTGCTCGTCCGCAGAAATCAAATTCGACACTGCACATGCGCAGTGCCGTCAGCAGCGCCACCGTAGTGGCGTGACGTCGGAGTGTTGAGTTGGTCTAACAGTTTGACCTCTGATATTGAGCATGACGGACTACGTGCCTACATTATGCTCACCCTCACAGCGGAGATGTATTTTTAGAGCGCAGCTCTTAGGCGCCCGTTTCCGGCTTGAGCGGCGTCGCCGTCGCCGTCGCCGTCGGCGTCGGCGTAAGTGGGCGGTGCATCATGGGAAATGTCCCATAATGCACCACGCGGAACCCTCGTGACGTCACGTGTGACGTCACAAGGGTCCCGCGCAGTGCATTATGGGACATTTCCCATGATGATGCAACACGCGGGGGGAGAAGGGGAGGGGAGTGGGAGGAGGAGAGGGAGCAGAAGTGGAGGAGGGAAGAGGGGGAGGGGAGGAGCTCGAAAGATGAGGAGGAGGTGAAGGAGGAGGAGGAAAGGAGGATGAGAGAGGGGGAGAATGAGGAAGAGAAAGAGGAGGGAGGGGGGCGGAAGAGTAGCAGGGAGGATGAGGACATGAGGAGGAGGGAGGATGGGTACATCCTCTCCTAGTACCCTTCCCTCCTCCTCCTCAAGAGCTGCACTCTAATCCGGCGTTGCAGGGTATTATAAACGTCTTTCATTTTTTTAGGCCTAAACACATATTTAGTCTCGTGATATCGTCATTTATTGTAAGGTCCCATTAGAGCAATTGGTTTTTCCCAAGTGCTATGCGGGAGAGTAAACTCACAGGAAGCAACCTTGGCGGCGGCCATTTCGTAAGCACGAAGCACATGATTGGATGTGAGCGAAGCACATGATTGGACCTGCCGTCACACTCCTGTCCAATAGGAGCTGAGCCGAGTTCACGCCGACCGCTGTGGCTACCTTCGTGTCCGATACGTGCTCGGAATCCGGGTCTAAACAAAGGCTGACTCGCATAATTGGCGTAGAACATCCTAAAAGGTGCCCACTTTTTAGAATGGTTCTGTTTACCCCCCATTAGTGGCCGCCAAGCCTCTTAAATACACTCCAAAACGCCGTTCATGTAACTGTTACCACCGTCTTTAAAAACAATAAATATATTTGATATAAAGTCAAAGACACTGCATGTGACTACCGAAAAGGAGAAGTCATAAATTTACAACCAACGCAGTTCATTTTTTTATTATTATTTTATTAACAAACATTACAGGCTCGGAGTTGTTCACGACGGCATGGGTCCAGCGGCAAACATCCCGGGGCATCCCGGGGCACAGAGGCTGGGCTGCGGCTGGGAGGACGGGTACATGATGAGTTACGTGGACAAAGGACCACGGTTTTCACGGTTCTCGCCCTGCGCTCAAGACCAAATCCGAGTCACTCTTAGGTGAAAGCAAAGCAGCACTCCTTTTAAGGCCGGTTCACGCATCTGTGCCGGTTCCGTTCGCAGCAACCGAAAGGACAGCGAATCAAAGTCACAGGGACCAGTGTTCGTCGTACACAACGTGGAACGCGAGGCGAGCGGAGTGTCGATTTGTGAGGAATGCGGAACTCATGACGGTTCCGGCGCATTCCGGTAGTTTCTGTCATTTCTGCGGTTGCGAACGCAGCTGTCGCAAAATGCGTGGAAACCACAAGTCGCGTTTCTCGTGCGTTATACAAAGATGCATGGTGTTTGCTTGAGACATGATGACAGCATTATCGGTGGGCACGCCTCGAGCAGATTCGAAGCATGTAAACTTCATACATACAGTATGTGGGCTGGGAACATGCCTGCAGAAAGTTTTTGTATGACCGTTGCGACAGGACCATCATACAAGAAAGTAACATACCACAGATAGTAGAAAGTTTTAGGGAATCGTTTTTCCACATCCAATGCGGTCCGATCCGCCCCATCCCCCCCCCCTTTAGTACAAACTGCGTGCACATGCTACCACACGAGACTCGCACCATAGCGTATACTGTCGAAACCGGTTATAACGAAGTCGGTAATAACAAAATAGCGGCTACAGCGAAGCGATCACGATTTCCTGTTCCCTTTTGCACTTCGTTATAACCGAAGTCGGTTATAACAAAATAGCGGCTACAGCGAAGCGATCATGATTTCCCCTTTCCTTTTGCACTTTTGCGCCCTTCTATATACTGACAAAGCCTGGCAGATCGCCACGCAAAGAGGCTTCCGAAGTGGAAAAGGTGGAGCGGAAGATAACGAATGCAAGGAGAACCACGTGACTGGCGCCCCGCTGCGGCGAGACGACGAAACGCGCTTCTCCCGAGCGAACAAGTGTGTTTCGGGTACTCGCCGCTGCAAAACATGTGCGCTAAAGCCCAGGTTCCCCGAGAAATGCCTTTTTGATGCTCTGTGCTACCAGATCCTCGCACTCCAAATCTGCGACCGGGCACACTATGGCTCCGTCGTCGAACTGCCAGGCATTGTGAGTAGAAAGGAGGCTATGGTTAAGGTTAGGGGAAAACAGAAACATGAAGTGAATCTTGGGGTAAAAATATGCACGAGGTGCGCAAATAGCGTACAAACTTGTACACCATATTCTAAAACTTCCTAACATCTTGCGTGAAAAAGTCCCAAACACCAGCCTTAAAAAGAACCGCAGTTCCTTGCTTCAACGTTTTCCTCGCCTCCCATTATGCATGGATTGCCACGTGGATCGCTTGGTCACCACTTGAGCTGTGCATTCGTCTTAACAATGATCCCGCGATCGAAAATTAAATGTTAATGCTTTTTCATTTGTTTTGGTGCAGCTTTAAAACGGCAGTTTGCATCGAGGAGCATTTTTCTGTCGATTACCTGACGCAATTGCCTGGACGCTTGCCCGGAAGTGCCTTCGATGAGAAAGACTACTGTCGACTAATGCACCCGGGAATAGTCGGGATTTTTTACCTATCCGTGAGTTTCTTTTACTCGTGTCTTGTTGTTGTTGTTATTTGTAAATACTGTTTAATTTTGTTGCACAATATGCGCCCGAACAAAACGGGGTGGAAACTAAATATCAACGTTCCGGAAGTCTTGATGAGAAGGCAATTTTCAATAAAATCTACGTTCACGCAGTCTCCAAAGTTCAAACTGACGCTGTCCTACTAGTGCACAAACTGGCTCAACTTAAGCCCGCAACTAAAATAACCCTCAGTTTCTCCATGGGGCTTCCGAGATGTCTTTCGCTGCTTTAACACGCCAAACCTAAACTTTAGAGATTTAGTTTCAAATATACAGATGGGATTTGATTTGTAGATTTGTCAATAAATCAATTCACAAATCGACAATGTGATCACTCATGTATTCATATACGTATAAACGAATCGATTGTTCAATCATCTACAGATAGATAGATCGTCCATGTGTCAACGGATAGAGCGAAAGGTAGTTACAAATATTATCTATTTGTCGTATAAATGTTGTAGTTTTTGTTATAAAAACTTTAATTCCCAAAACCTTTCCTTTAATGGCGTAATCATCTGCAATCGATATCAACAGTTTAGGGACACTGGGTACCAACCTCAATTTCCGTGCGCGATGCCTATCTTTATTTTAAATGTATGTTGAGCACATTTTTAAAGAATTATGTTCGAAATAACCTTTTACCTCGTTTTTTACTCAGCCACAGAAATCGGAAATTCTTGTTACCTGTAAGATACAGTGCCAGACGCCACTTCAGTTGAATCAGCTGTTTTACACTTACACACATCCTGCTCCAGACGGTCTTCCTCGTTCTGATAAGGCAGTGAGTATGACGTCGTTTATTTTATTAAGCACAGGCTACTGCAAGGGGCGCTAAATCCTAAGACTCGCGAAAATCAGCTTCACGTAGTACGACACCGCATCTGTCGTACTACTACGCAAAAAAGTATTAGCTATAGCTACACTGTCGTAATGACAGTGTAGCTATAGCTAATACTTTTTTTTCTAAAAAAAAGAGTCAAAGACTTGACTGAATCAAATCTTACAGTTGGAATGCAAACTTTTTTGCCCGGGATAAGCCATTTTTTATAATAAAAATACTCAATTATTTTTTTCTCTCTCTTAGTATCTTTCTCTCATTTTATTTTTCTCCTTTTTCTCTTTTTTTTTTCTTTCTTTCGCTTTTGTAAGACCAGATGTCGCAATTATATTACTTTTAATTTTTTTCGCCTTGACATAAAAAAAAAACATTTAGAGCAACAACGCATAAAGTGTGACGAGTTGGTTTGACATCATGAGAGGGGAACAGCGCGAAAATAACAGAGGGACTAAAAGTAACGAGAGGGTCGTGTCTGTCGTTACCTGTTCTACTCGTCCCTCGTTTATGTTCGCGCTGTTCGCCTTTCATAAAAATTTAGAAATAGCTATTATCTTGTAGGTAATTTTAACAGAAACTTCAGAGTCTTAACAGACTTAGCAGTGACCAATGTTACATGTGTCTCTCGAGTCAAATAATCTTTGCATGAAAGGTTCGACCGATGTTTTCTGAAATATTGTCTCTATGAGACATTAGGTTTAAACATTGCAAATGCCCGTTCTCTCGCTTTACTTCATGATTTAAACTCGCCAATGTCAAGTTTTTTGTTTATTTTTTTGTACTTCCATATTTTGAGTTTTTGTTTTTCGATATTTTCATCTTTCATGACATGCCAAGTTTCATATTTCTTACAATTGATGCTTTATTCTCAACCAACAGACATGTTTGCAAGGCGTGTGTACCCGAACGCCGCCTTCGAGTTGAAAACCAATAATACGATACGCATCGTCCTCGTCCAAGAAAAACTATCCTTCCTTCGCCTGCAAATAAACCCCAGAGGCTTCTGTTTTACTTTGTCTTTGCGTATTTGGTGCACAACCAGCTACAGAAGCTGAACGTATATTTTGTTTTTTAGTCAGGTTATATCTACTTCCCATTTTCTGTTTTTATAAAGTCAGCTGCGTCTAACGATCTAAACGGTGATTTAAAAAATGCAAATGACATAGAAGAGGAGAAGCGGACAGAGGCAAAAAGCGCTCTGTCCTGTCCCAGTCTTCTTTTCGAAGTCATTTGCGCCTTTTAAATCACCGTCTAGATATTCAGTCACCTAGTCCCCAATTGATTTTGATGCGTCTAACGATGTTAGATTATATTCATTCATTTTATAGTTTAGGGATAGTTGACGCCTTGTCGAGCGGGACCGAACTCTTTATTTATCTATTTATTTATTTAGTTATTTATTTGTTACCTACATCGCCCGGTGGGCATTACAGTAGTCAGACGGAAATAATTGCACAGCAGTGAACATATAGCAGAACACGAAACAAAAAAAATAACGAATCATACAGGAGAAACATGCCAATATTTACTACAATAGCGTAAGAACACGATCGACAGCAAGCACGGGTCGAACAAAGTAAAAAGTCCAAACAGAATACAATAGCATGATTTCAATAAAAAAGGATTAAACATTAGGAAGCTCTACCAGTGAGTCCGGCAGCACGTTCCCGTTATTAATTGCTATAAGAGTTGTTATAAAATTAACGACTCTGAGCAAATTGACGGCTTGCTTCTCGGATTAGTGTTATAATCATATCCCCCCCCCCCCCTCGATAACTGTTATGGGTGCGATAATATTTTTGTTGAGACGCAGTTCGTAGAGCGCACGAAAGTTAAACGGCAACTCCGCTCAATTCCAAAGATTTCGGGATAAGGCGAGATTTCGCAATAAAACGACCTAATAAAAGACACTACGTCCTTTGCTTCGCGAAAAATGGGATATATATATTTTAAATCTAATTTTAAACAGAGCAGAAATCGAAAAACAAAACTTCGGCTTCGTCCGACAACATTGGCCTCAGGCCGCCAAGAACATGGTCATCACGTGGTGCAATATGTCACGTGATCCTCTACGCATCGACGGGTGGGATTGGGGCGGGCGCGTGCCAGGCGCAAGTGTCGTCTGCACCGCTCTCTTCACCATGTTTTGGTGTCTACGACATTCGACGACGTCTGCACAGCTGCGGCATAAGTTTGGGCACGTAGTGTCCGTAGTACGGACGAAACTTCGAGAGACAATAGGAAGTTTTCGTAGATAGTTTTCGGCGTCCCGCTACGCTCTCCGGAACTTGCTACGATACCCGGAACTCTACAGCCAAGGCCATCGGCGCGCAGGCGCAGCAGCAACTTCTTCGTTGCGGAGGGCTTAGCTGAAGGAAGAAAGCGGTCTACGAAAACTCCCTAATAATCACAAACGGTGAGACGACGACGGCAGTTGCGACACGGGAGACTCCGGTAACGTAGGGACCACGGCGGGGCGGCCGGAAGGCTCCCGAGCAGCGCTCTGTGCAGGCGCGTTACGCCAATCACGTGGACAGCGGTCAGCGCCGAGGGGAAACGTTGCTGACGCCACCCGTTACTCTTGCCCGGAGAAGTGAAACAAGCAGAAGGGGGCAATGGTGATGACGTTTAGCTCAATGTTGGCTTCGCCCACGCCGTAGCCTTGACTGCGCTGTTGGCTGCGCCTCAAATTCGCCCGCTCGAGTCAGCCAATTTCGGCAACTTGGCCAGTTACAAATTTTGCCGGACAGTTTAAGAAACATTTAGAGAGAACTGCGTCGTAATATTTGACGTCTCGTCTTTCTAGGTGATACTAAAACAAAACGTCATTAATCTATTTTTTTTTTTTTTACAAAAAAACAGTCAAAGCAAGGGCGCTTCACCGCACTAAACGTAACACTGCGGAGAAGCTTACTTTTAGAAAGTGAGTGTATAGGCTCTACTAAATGATACGACGGCATTCCAGAAGTTACCACACCAGACACTAAACTACTCCTGCGCATTCGTACCCCGGGTGCTTAAAATGAATGTATTTAATCCATTATTAATCACTAATACAACAGAGGAATAGCTACGCTAAAAGTCTTTTTTTTTTTTTTTTTTTTTTTACTTGAAATTGGCTCCATCATCCCTCTGTGCTCTGGGGGATCGTTGACCGAGTGCCTCAGGGCACCGCAGCTCGGAGTACGCGAAGCGAAAGCTGGCAATAAAAAACTCGGGGATCATGGGTTCCAACTTTGAACCTTACTTCTGCCCGTTTTGGTCTGGATGAGCATCCTGCTGGCGTACGTTCCTGTAATCACTATAGCGCGGTGCATGTTAAAGATCCTAGCCAGGAGTGGAACTGCACTGGCAAAATTTCTCATCCAACTGCACAGACTCCGGAACCCATTGGTGCTAACTAACTGTGACAGTTGTAACAAGGGAGCTGCAGGTGACTAGGGCGGTAGCCGCACGTGAAGGAACTAGCTGGCATAGAGCCAGAAGAAGAGAAGGACGACGGGGCTACGAGGGGCTTGGCAGGTGCTGCTGTTCCGGCGAGCTGTAAACCATATTTTGTTATCTTAACAACTGGCGACGAGGATGGCCATTCCCGGAAAATGCATGGTCACGTCTGCATGTTGACTTTGGAGGGCCGTTTCAGGGCATCTATTTCTTGGTGCTAGTTGATGCATTCTCCAAGTGGATGGAAGTGCACCGGGTGCCCTCACCATCGGCTAAAGTCACAGTGAAGTGCTTGAGATCAACCTCTGCCACACACGGCCTACCTGATGTGGTCGTCAGTGATAACGGCCTGGCGTTCGTCAGTGCGGAATTCAAAGAATTCCTGGCAAGAAATGGAGTTCGTGCTATCACTATTCCACCGTATCACCCTGCCTCAAAAGGCGCTGCAGAGAGGGTGGTACAAACGATAAAAGAAAAGCTAAAGAAAGCTAAACCAGGACGTTTCGAAGTCAAGATTCCAAGAATTCTTTTTAATTACAGAACGACGCCACATCTGCTGACCGGACGAACACCAGCAGAGTTGTTGATGGGGCGACGCCTAAAAACTCCCTTTTACCTGCTGCACCCAGATCTCCGAGTCAGAGTAGGGTTCAAGCAGCTACAGCAGAAGGAGCGAGCGGACAAATCTGCAAGAAGAGACGGATTACTGCAGCCTGGTGATCATGTCTGGGCTCGAAATTTCAGACCAGGAGATCGTTGGGTCCCTGCGATAGCTGAGCATCCCACCAGTGCATCGTCGGCACGAGTGATGCTGGAAGAGGGCGGCACCTGGAATCGCCACGGGATCACCTGAGGCAACGAACACCAGTCCCACCACAAAACACCTTGGATGTGCAGCCACCATTGGAGAGTGTAGTGAACATGCCTCTTGGACAACAAACTTTCATGCGGCCCGAAGACAGCGTAGCTAGGCAGACACCATTAGGCAGTGTGGTAAACCTACCTAGTGAGCGTGTGCGTGACATGGGTGGTTCTTGTGTGTCTAGAGCCGATATACAGACTCCGAGTGCGGTGCGGGAACGCTCAGGACAGGATGTGCAGGCGGAACCTGTGAGAAATGACACTTTGAGACGTTCAACTAGACAGCGCAGACCTCCGACACGGTACTCTCCTTGATTGACACTGTGAGTTGAGGGGGAGGAGTGTGACAGTTGTAACAATGGAGCTGCAGGAGACTAGGGCGGTAGCCGCACGTGAAGGGACTCGCTGGCATAGAGCCAGAAGAAGAGAAGGACGATGGGGCTACGAGGGGCTTGGCAAGTGCTGCTGTTCCGGCGAGCTATAAACCGTATTTTGTTATCTTAACACTAACTAACCACTGTACAAACTGTGCACGAAACAGGATTACTTTTATTCTCTGCCCTTGGATTTTATGCTCGCCACCGTTTCTCCAGATACTATCCTAATACCATATATAAACGTTTTCTGCTTCCTGTACGTCATTCTCAGTCACGTGGTATGCGGGACGAAAAAATAACAAAACGTTTCAACCTGGAGTATGCGAGAAAATATAGGTGGGGCAAAAAAAGAATATGTGATCATCACAGATTTTTCGTACACACCTTCCAGGGACGTGGAGAGACAAGAACGATGTTTCACCGCAGACCAGAAGTGACGAAGTTCAAGGTGGCCGCGCCCTCGAGGAAAGGGTGTATACACAGGCACCCGAAACTGTAGTTACGCTGAACCACGCTATTCCCTTGTTTTGTTTGGAAAGAAACTAAGCTTTCCCATTTATTGGGTACCCCCTGCACATTTCCGGTTCCCGTATTTTTCCTAATTTTTTACTCATAAGTCTTTGATCATAATAGTGAACTAAATGGGCCATAAAATTAATTTTTGCCTGGTATAAAAAATTTTTTAATGAAATATTACGTCGCATATTCTTTAGTGGACCAAAAGGAAGAGGGTACAAACTCAAACGCCTACTCTTCGGTAAAACGAAAATTCGAAAATATAGCGGACTATGTGTACCTCCTTTCCTTCGAAAGCTTTCGGTCTTTTCACTGTGATACATCTGCGGTACCCAAAAACCGTCAGCCTTCCCCAGCTCACGCATTAGGAAGGAGTACTGCCTCGCTTCAATGTATGCGCTTGTCAACAATGAATCCGTCGACGAATATTTGAGTTTTTAGTTTAATTTTAAGGGAGTAGTTAATCCAGGCCAGCGGAACCGCCATGGGCGCTTCCGTCTCCGTGACCACGGCTAACCTGTGCATGGAACCCGTTGAGGACGAGACCCTGTAGTCACTTGCCGCAGCGCCCAAAATATTTGCGCGTCATGTAGACGACTGTTTCTGCATCCGTCAAAAATCTGAAGTGGACAGATTTATCTCTGTGTCTGGCTCGCAACCGAAAGGTCGCGGGTTCGTATCCCGCCTCCACCTAAAATTCTTCAAATTTTTCCTTCGAAGATAATAATTACATTATAAAGTGAAATCATTTGAAACATGCGGCGACCTTTAATTCGCATTACATGTCATGTTTTAATCCCTTTCCTTCCGCGC